AAGCAGTGGTATCAACGCAGAGTACTATTGAAGGAAACTTCGCTTATAGAGGTTTTCGAAGACGCTTTTTACGAAAATGTCTTTTTGGTGAGATACGGTGAGGTTACTGTAACTGCATCACGAAAGTGCGTAACTTTGCCCGCCCTTCTCGCGTATCTGTCAGCGACCTTGGCTGCTTGCTTTTCTCAATCATAGTTACTAGGAACTGTGCTACCGAACGGTGCATGATTCAGGCTCCAGTCTGTAAAAATCACCGAGTTACGAGCCTATGAAAACACGTCCTCATGAATTTTGCCCAAAATCTAAAGATCGCAAATCTCGTCGGAATTCCACCTTGAGTGCTTGTATGACACTCGCATTGCGGATATTGTGTTCGCTTCGCCCAAAAACTCCCACTGTATTGAATATGGTACTTGCATATGCTTCAGCTGCTCAGTTGAATATCAAAGCTATTTCAGTGGCTAGAACTCAAACTTCGAAATCTAACACAATAAGATCCATTAAGGACGTGAAAGATTTTGATCAGCGTGTTGTACAAGCGCTCACAGTGGAATTTCGACGAGATTTGCGATCTTTAGATTTTGGGCAAAATTCATGAGGACGTGTTTTCATAGGCTCGTAACTCGGTGATTTTTACAGACTTGAGCTTGAATCATGCACCGTTCGGTAGCACAGTTCCTAGTAACTTTGATTGAGAAAAGCAAGCAGCCAAGGTTGCTGACAGATACGCGAGAAGGGCGGGCAAAGTTACGCACTTTCGTGATGCAGTTACAGTAACCTCACCGTATCTCACCAAAAAGACCCTGTAACCCTCAAAGACCACGATTTTCGTAAAAAGCGTCTTCGAAAACCTCTATAAGCGAAGTTTCCTTCAATTTAAGAGCATGAACATTTTGACCAAAACCCATCGGCCAGCTTCAGAGCGTAAAACGAGAAAAAATGAAATTACTCGAACATCTTGGAAAACTTGCACATAAGGGTTATCCGACCTGCTGATTACGAAAATCACATCTGCTTAGCAAGAGAGCTTCATATCTTAGAGTTACGTTGAGGATTTAAAACGACATGATTTTTCCAGAATTCACCAGCCCTTCTAACTCCTTTGGAAAGAAGTGTGCGGCTACTTTCTAGCGCTCCATAATCTATAGAGGAAGTATTATCTAAAATTTCTTTCTGAATATACTGGGGGCGATACGCGCTGCTTCACACCTTTGCGAATAGACGCCCGCAGAAAGTTTTGAGAATACTGAAATCGAGATATCAAGGACACTCTGCATACGGAAACTTGATGAGCTGAGCACAATGCATTTTTCGGATTCAGAAAATATCCACTCCAACGACAGTTACGGCGAGTAGAATCTGGAAACGAGTGATTTTTCCAGAATTTACCAACGCTTTTTTCTCTTTTGAAAAGAAGTCTGCGGCAGCTTCCTAGCGCACTATAATGTACAAGAAGAGCACTATCGAATGGTGCTTACTGGAATCTTTCATGTTGGTAGGCGCTGCGTTACATACTTGCAAAGGGACCTCCTCAGAACAATTTGAGAAAACTGGAAACAAGATATAGATGACATGACGTATGTCGGAAGATTCGCCTTGACGAGATGAACACAATGCTGCTTTTGAATTTAGAATATATTCATTCCGAAGGAAGTTATGGCGCTGCATAATTTGCGATATTCCGGAATCGCGAAATTCCCGTTCTGTGAGTGGTATTGTACATTGCACAGCATGCGCGGCATTCCGCGATATGTGCTTCTCATGCGATTTCCAACCATTTCCCTTTGTCTTCCTGCATTTTGGGACCCGTCATACTCTGCCGAGAAAAGCCCAGTTTCACACATATCCATGCAGAATGAGCTCTTAAACTATACCTGCCCTATTTCTGCAGTGCTCAACAGAATGTGTATGTAGTATACTTGGGACCGAATAGAATGATTATTCGATTATTCGAATAAATCATTCGAATGCGAATCATTCGAAAAGTCGAATATTCGAAAGAAATTTCGAATTTCCCCAAGTATAGTATGTAGCCTCTGGAATCAGCACACTGAATGGTCCATTTACACTAAAATTCCAGGAAGAAAACTTATATCCCACAACTAGGCACATCCGTATACTGGAAGATGCGCCTCGCCGAGCTGAGTTGAATGGTACTCTTATATATAGAATTCATAAATTTTGGATCAAGATAAGATCTTTTTTATAAAAAAGTTAGGCGTTGCGCGGCAAAGTTAGGCGGCAAATTCCGCTTTTCCGCCGACTTTTGTCGCGCGACGCGGCGTTTGTCAACTAACTGCGGCGGGGCCGCGTGAGTTAAGTGCCGCCGCCACTTTTTTTCACAAATTACGGGTGGTATTGTATGTTTGTTCACTGCTATTCAAAAAAAATGAAAAAAGATTTTGGCCGCAGTTAGGGACTTTTCAGAATTTTGCAAGCCATTGTAAGAATACGACTACTCAAGGGCACTGGGAGCATCATTAAAACAACCTTAGAAACTGCCTGAATATCTGTAGAGACAATGCCGCTTTTTCCAAGAAGAAAAAACCGTAACATAGGTTTATGGGAAAAACTTATTCATCAGTCCAGTGACTAATAGACTAAGAATCGAAGTTATCGACCAATCCACTCTCGTCACAACAATTATTTTTATCCTGCTTTCAAAAAACCGCTATCGAGACAGAATATATCACCATTCTTCCGCAAATCTGTCTTAGGTGATTGATTGCATGAGAAATTTGCCGCGACACGGAGCGAATCAACTACTGGAAATCACGAATGACAGCGTACAATTTTGGAGAAATGACTTCTTCTAATTTTAAGCTGACATAAAAAACTGGGAGACGTGCGGAGCAATAAGCAGGGTTTCGTGAGAATAATTAAGCATTTGTTTCAGGTGGCTATTACTACGCTAAACCTAGCCCTTCTGCGTTAGCGTACTTCGAGCGATTGTCAAAGGATATCTCATGGTGGTATGCACCCGACAATGCCTATATGACGTCACTTTGCGAGCTTTCCGGTTTGGCGAAATGTGGTGGTTTGCCGTTCAGGTACTCTTTCCCCTATCACAATTACAGCGCAAGCGACCTTGACGGTGGTCTTTGAGACTTCAGAAAGTGTGAGTGATCTTTGACGACGAAAGCCATATGACGACTTGCCACGGGCACTTACTAATTATATTGTTTGGGAGAATAGTAGGCAACGGTTGCTCTATTAGCTCACAATATAATTCACAAAACCCAAAAACTGACTGTGCCAAAATGAATAGAAGTCACGAAAAAAGCTGCGAAATAATTGCTTAGCAAGTAATTTTTACAGTTTACTAGCCACCCAATGCAACTGCCCACTTTTTACTCACTTATAAGGGAACAGGGCTCGGCACGAGATGGCACCAGGAAATTTCCAAAACGAAGTACCCCTTGACTTTCGCTAAGTTTTACGAAGTCCTCTTTGATTTTAAACGCTAAACGTAAAAACTAAAAAAAGAAAGTTTAAAGAAAGAATCGCAATTTTCTGCAACAAAAACGATATCCCCTTTGCTTTTTGCCCCAAAAACGATATCCAGCTTGCCGCGTGCCAGCTGATGCCAGGCCCTGTAAGGGAAGCTTGTTTGGTTGAAGTGGCCTTTCTAAATGAGGCGTATACCATATTAAAGGGCATGACGCTGATTCCAAACTGCCTTTCTGATCTGCAGAACGTTTATGAACGAGGAATATGAGCGCTTTATGAAGCGAAGAATTTAATGTGCATTTTGGATAAAATAAGTTGCTAGAATCTTAGCTAGAATCTTACTAGCCCTCAAATAATGCAACCAAGTATGAAATATTTTCATTTCAGAGTATTTGGATAAACTGCTTTGATGACTATCGCTGCTCCATTGAAGAGCTAGAAAAAGTTCCACGGCTATTTTTCTCCTAGTTGCATATTAAATTCTTTGCTTCAATAAGCGCTCGTAGCTCCCCGTCCATAAACTATCACTATCACTGTTCCGTTTAAGGAAGTCAGATTTGTCAGCATTTTATGTCTCAATGTGGTATACGTTCCATCTAAAAAGATCACTTGGATCATGCATTCCTCGTTGGATTTCTAGATAGCCCGTCTTCACGTGGAGTGCGGACTCCAGCACAAAAGTTTCAAGTAGTCCCTGTCCCTCTCTTCAGACATCTTCGATCTTCTTGCTTGTCGTCGGGTAGCTGCGTCCAGAGTTCCAGCTGCGAAAATCATAGCTTCGCAATGAGTCCATTCTGTCCTCAAAAGCCTGCGCTTAAGCGCTGAAGGGTCGAGATTTCAACGCGGCTATACTATCAGCCTCAGTCTCATGCGCAATGAAGTGAAAGGGAGAACGGTTGGATTGGACAGGTGGGCTCAAAGTTCCGGGTCCGTTAGTGGGTAGGCTTTCTCCGGAGGCCCAAAGGCTGCCCAGGTTGCTCTTCTTCTCCTGTTAAGTTCCTTCGTCAAATCGTCCTCTATGTTCACCGAACGTCCAAAATGCATGTAAAGGAATGTCTCCATAAAAAGAATGCCCTCTAATTTCATTTCCGCATTATCGCAAAGAGCGTTCATGAATTGAGCCTTTTTCGTACTCGCAATTCGGTCTTTTTCGCTACTTCGTTTGGTTTCTTCAGCATCGTCGCTGCTTCAGTGATACTGCTCGAAGAGAACGATGTCGTCCGCAAAACGAAGGCTCGACGGGAGTCTCCCATCAACACGTGTGCCTTTCTCGTCCCAGTCCAATTACTTCATCACCCAATACAAAGCCATGGTAAACAACTCCGTCGAAAGTGTCACCTTTTGGACCCCCTCTCCGAAGGGGTGGTCAAGCGATGCAACGATGCAACATCGTTGTTGTACAGTCGTCGACGAAGGTTAGGACGAAGGCACTCGGTACTTCCGGCAGACTTCTAATGCAGCTGAATTTTTTGCGAAATCCAGCTTGTTTCCAAGGCTGGATTCCATACAGTAGGATATGCGAAAATAATTTTCGCGAAAAGCTTGTGCAGCGCAATCAACAGGCATATTGGGTTATAGTTCCGAAGATCTTCCCGTTCGCTCCTTGAAGAGAGGGACGGTCCTTAGCGTTTCCATTGCTCGGAAATTCTGACGATGGATGGGTGGACGACAACGCCAACCGCTTCAACGTCGTAACGGAACTTTTTCATCATGAATGGTGAGGGTTCCATCACTCATCTGTCGCACGTCCTTCTTCCTGTATTTCGTTTTCCAAAGCTATGATGTGGTACTTAATGTGCTGTGCAGCGTTGAGAAAAGCTGACGGTCAGCGTTTGTGGAGTTTGCCCTGACGTTCTAGGTGCAGAACGTGAGCCAGTCTTCTGGCGTGCTGTCTGGGCAGATGTCATTTTTGTCCGGAAGACCCTGTCGTTCTTTCACAACCCAGTGCTTAGGTGGTACACGACGTGCGGTTTATTTCTCTTCTTTTTGATCGAGTAGAAATCTTCTCCCTTCGAGAGTAAACCTACTAGGCCGTGTGATTTCGAAAAGGCGATCGCTAACCGGGTAACAAAAATAACCGGGTATGAAGTGAGGACCAACCTGAGTTCAAAAGCCAAAAGCGTTGGATCTGGCCTGGTCTCTTAGCTAGGCATCCGAGCAAAACCGAATTCCAAACTCCTTCACAGCTTGTGAGGCCCTATTAGAACATACACTCGGCTGTACACTGCAGTTCGACACCCAGGGCCACCCCCAGGACACGTTGGGGCGGCAGACCGTGGAAGGCCCCTTTTTTGATCCTTTAGATTTATCAGGCGGATTGCGCGTCCCGTTATGCCCCTTTAGTGCATTAGTATTCATCATTCCGTTCCACCTACACAAAATTTTGTTCCAACTTTTATATCCTCATTGCGTTTTGTAGATCATGTTCACTTACTCTTACTCTTACCCACTCCCAGTTTTAGCTGTCATTGAAGGCAGTGAATCGGTGGAGTTCTTTTGAAATTGGCGCATTTTGGCGCTTGAATTGGCAGGTGGAGTTTGAGCTACAGTGTACAGGGGGTCTGCTACCTAAATGCCTCATGCTCTGCACTTCAACGCCAAGACATTCTCCACGAACGCCGACCTCCACGCTCGTCTCGACGATGCAGAGCCATCAAGTACCACGTCATCGCTCTCACTCTACAGAAAACGAAGTTCAGGAAGGAGGACGTGCGAGAGATGAGTGATGGGACCCTCATCATTCGTGGTGAAAAGATTCCATCGCGAAACGGTGGAGGCGTTGGTGTTGTCGCCCACCCATCTATCATCCACCTTGTCAATTCGCATGAGATTCTATCACCTTGACTGGCCATCCTACGGCTATTACCTCCACGTCAGAAAACTATCAGCATCATCAACTGCTATCTCCAACATCAGCAATTGACAAATCAGATAGATGTTGTTTACGAAGAGTGGAGGTCGTCCGCAACGAGAAGTTCTACAAGTTTGTTGTGGGCGATTTAACGCGAAAATCGGGATGCCACTAGAAAATATATATAGGGGCGGGAAGCTTGAATATGAGCTCCGGAATGAAAACGGCAGCCGTCTCGTTGAGCTTCTCTCCGCCGCACGACTCTTCCATGGAAATTCCATCTTCCTGAAGAAAGAACATCGCCGGTGGACATGGAAATAGCCGACGGAACAACTCATGCGGAGATCGACCACATTCTCACCAACCGAAGGTGGAGCTTACTCGATGTCTCTGTAGTTCCATCCTTCTGTAGTGGCTCCGATCACCGCCTCCTTCGAGCGAAGATACGACTCAGCCGAAGGCTGGAAAAGAAAGTCTGTCATAGTGCTGCGAGAAGGAAGGAAGTCGTTTATGACGGTAACAGGCTGGAAGAGCTCATATCAAGTTGTGACTGGCCCATCGAGGAGGACCCAAAGGTACGTATACGAGGCTTCTGAAAGGATTGCGAGCCTGCGGAGAGTGCGCCTCAGTTGTCTACGAGAAGAAATTTGAAAGCATTTCGAAGACCACTGAGGAACTACTCGAAAGAAGATCGCTGAGGCAAGATCCGTGTGCAACCCATCTGGAGCGACTAATAGGCAACGCCAGCTTTGCAGGAGGATCTCAGAAAGTACAGGCGAGCCAAGACAAGTGCCAAAGGAACCTCTGAATAACACGTACCACTGGCTGCTACCGAACAAAGACGGGACCCCAGCTTCTTCCTGTTATAAGATGGAATCTATCGCGAACAACTTCTACACCAACCTCTTCCGCTCATCAACACCCGTGCCGATGCCCGTTGTTCCCACTGGAGAAGTATCACCACGAATTCTACCTGCTGAAGTGCGCACGGCGATTCAGACCATGAAGACGTCTCCAGGGCTAGACCATCTTTCCGTCGAATCTCTGCGAGCCGGCGACAACTACACGAAGTTTTCGCGTCGCATCGACATCTTAGGAAGAAAGAAATTCCGACCAATGGAGAACATCAAGAACCGTCTTTCTCTACGAGAAGGGTGAACGGGAGGATTTGAACTACCGCCCAATTGCCTGCTGAGTGTGCTGTACAAGCTTTTTAAGAAGATTATCCTCGCTCGCATATTTAAGACACTAGATGAAGCCCAACATCACGAACAAGCTGGACGCAAAGGATTCAGCTGCATGGGCCATATCCTGACGGTTTCGAGGGTCACAGAAGTCTGCCGGGAATACCGATTGCCTCTCTCCTGACCTTCGTGACTACGAGAAAGCCTTTGACAGCGTCGAAACCGATGCCTTCCTGTCAGCGCTATTCGATTGAGAAGTGGACCCTAGCTTTGTGAGAACGTTAGCCGAATGCTACAAGGACCTCCTGATTATCCCAATTGGAAAGGGGTCCGACAAAGCGACACAACCTCACCGAAGCTGTTCACCGCGGCATTACAGTGGGTGATGAAGTCAGTAGACTGGGACGAGAGAGGCATACAAGTTTATGGAAGATTCCTGTCAAACTTTCGTTCTGCGGCGATATCGTTTTGAACTCTATCTCTGAAGCAGAGACGATGTTGAAGAAACTAAACGAAGTGGGGAAGAAGATCGGATTGCGAGCAAATCGGAAGGAGACTCAGTTTATGAAGAACGCCCTTTGCGAAGATGCAGAAATAAAATTGGAAGGCACTATTATGGAGACACCTTCTTACGTGTATCTTGGACGTTCGATGAACGTGAAGAACTTTCTTGAGGGAACTTAACAGGAGAAGGAGAGCAGCCTGGGCCGCCTTTGAGCCTCTGAAAGAAGCCACCGACCAACTGATAGACCCGAAGCTTCGTGCCCACTTTTCCACTCAACCGTTCTCCCTTCGCTCCGTTACGCAGTTGAGACTTGGGCTACGCCGTAGCCACGTCGAAAGTTCTAAGGACTACCCACAGGGCGCCAGAGCGCAGTCATCTGAAGATGACTCGACTCAATTAACATCTTGTCGGACTTCGCAGTACGGATATGAGAAGAATGTCCCGTCTTCGTGACCCAGCGGAATACGTTGCGAAAGCGAAGTATCGATGAGCCGGTTACATTAGAGAAGACAAGTGGACACTTAGGATCAGAGTGGATTCCTTGCAAAGCGAAGCGTTCCAGGAAAGACCTTTAATGAAATGGGAAAACATGTTCGTAAAACGGATGGACCAATGAGGAATTTGCTAGATACGATTTTTGCACCTGGAACTCGTGGACGCAGCCACCGAAGTCATCCAAGAAGACCGTGGATGTTTGAAGCGAGAGAGAGAGAAAGTTTAAAGAAGATTTCTGTGCTAAGCCCGCACGTCACTTGAAGCCGAGCCATCCACATATCTAAGTATTTAGTAACTGCTATACGGCTTTCTTGTCAAGCATAGCCCACTCGCAGAGCAGCGCTAAACGTTAAGGCCAAAAACTACTCGAAAAGTTGCGCCACTCAGATTAGTAGCTCGACAGATTGTCATGTATCAAGATGAACTACAGGGAAATGATCAGAAGCCGAAGCGACTACTCCAAACACGCTGCATATGCGTAACCCGCGTGATAGGCTACTGATTCGCCTCCTATATCTACCGAACGGTCTTTTACGCAAAGTTACAGGCGCTAGATTGAGCGAAGTCGCGGTGTGCTCCTTTTTGCAAAATTCAGCGGAAACTAGAGGTTTAACAGTTGTAAATGCTCATGAGAATTGATTATGTCCTCACTTTCCCGAAGCAGAAGATGGCTTTCTGCTCAAACAACGAGGAACAAGCTAAAAACAGGACACACTTGAAGAAATTTTTTTCAGTGCGCCTATTGCGAACTTCTCTTGTGTGATCCTCACATTTCACTATGGCCCTCTACGACTGAAAAGATTCACTAACAATTCTGTCTCATTTTAGAGCAAACTTGACAGCTAAATTTCAAAGAAATCTATTACCTTGTTGGAACTGTTGAAATTGGCCAAGTTCTACTTCTGACGATTTTGTGAGTCAAAAACTATTTATAACTGCTCCCACAAAGCCTTGTCGCTTTTTGAACACGAGTATTTGAAATGTGCCCAAAAAGCGGCTACTCTTTGAAGAATGACTGACTAGTGGAGTTAAAAGTGTTGTTTACAACGAGAGTTTTCCTTACTTATGACGGAAAAAGTAAATTTCTGGTTTAGTGATCTAAGACTGCTGCAGTAAACCTGTCTCGGCGTTAAGGTTGCAAAAACAAATTTCAAAAGTCGAACAACAAAACTGATTCCATAGATAGGATTCGCTACTCAAGGACCCCTTCAATGTATCTCTTTTTGAAGTGCGAGCTCTTCTTCTACTCCTTCAACAGTCTTATACCTACGAATGCAACAGAAACTCATTCTGATCTAACCGGAATTTCAACGTCCACGTCTGCGTAAGATATAACATTGTTGGGACCCTGAAAGTGCCGAATACAAACTGTCCCCAATGGTCACTGAGTATGTCAGAATTAGTGATGTTAATCCAAAATTCGAGAGTTGGTTGATTTATCAAGTTTTGAGTAGAAGACGGAGTCAGCCGTCACTTGTTGTTACCGCCCTATTTTCGAAAATGGGGCGAGTAGCGTAGTGGTATGAGGCCCCGTCATGACCGAATCAGACTAAGGTTTGATCCCGCTGCTGGGCCAACAAAGTCTTCTACCCCCTAGGGACTATCAATGGAACCAGAGTAATTTGGAACGATAATAGCACTGACTTGGTAATTGGTTGACCCCCATAAGTAATTGTAATAGCCGCAAAAATTCAAGAGGCTCTTCGACTGTGAAGTAACGTGCTCGGCGCATGCCCGCAGAATGTATTAAAAACGCAGAATCCTTTACACTTTTATTTTTGTATATTCCACTTCCTCTGAAAGTACTGCACTGCCGATTGAACGAGGCAGAAAATCATCACATTTCATTTCAAATCGGCTGGACCCCGCTCGAGGTCTCCTGTGATTCTTTTCTTGCAATGGGCCAATTCGAATTGAATAGAATGGGGCATATTTGTAAATTCCAAGACAGTTAGGTCAGCATATTAGCCAAGTAAATGGTATGAAGTCTTCAGCATTGAAAACATCTATATCGATAGTACACATGGAAATTGCCAAAAACGGAACACCGGCATAGGCCCACTATGTTTTTTACGAGAAAAAGAAGAGCACAAATATTTCGAACGATACTGCTCATTTTTTGTGACTACTGTGTCATACAGCAGCTACTGTAAAAAAGACCGAGCCGAATGAGAGATTCCATTAATGAACCCCTGCAACACCTTTGCCTGTTATATCAACGTAGAAGCAAAAAATCCCAGTTAGAGAAGATTTTTGTTAATTCTTTTCACTCGAAATCCGTTATGTTCCTTTACATTTGCCCTGATTTCAGGTGTATAAGCCGCACTTTTTCAAATTTACAAGTAAGCAGCTTAAACGCTTCACTATGTTTCAGAAAGTGGTTCTTATGCCACACGATTCTCTGAAGCAATACGTAGCATGGTGGGTCCTTTGGTCACGAAGTCTTCTGGCCTGTTTGAGCTGGTCGTGTTTGGAATAAAATCCCCTGCGGCTTATACACCTGAAAATAGGGTACATATGTGATGGCCATTCTTTCGGAATGCTGCCATTCAGACTAATCGCAGGACGTTCACAGACTTGATTTATTTATATCGATCTCAATAATCAATCTAGATTTCTTAAAGGAAATCTGGCTAAGCCCACATGCTTTCATAAAAATAGACTTGAACTATTACGTAGGATGACAAGTTTTGAGTATATGTGGTAAACAATTCATACCTGCACATTCGTTAGAGCTTTCGCAATCTCCATATTCTACTCTGGTCTGCTTTAGCTTGATCACCAACTGGTACTGGTTGCATGCTGATCCAACAAATACTTCACCATCCTTTATACAATTTGATGGTGAGACGAATCTTGGAGGGAAACTAGGCAAGGTAAGGAAGATGGAGCTTAGAGTTTTGATTTTTCTAATTTATTATAAAAACTCACATCTTTGCCTCATACATGTCAAGACGACAGAACGTTTAATGAATGGAAATTCTTGGTACTCTGAAAGCAGTACAGCTACAAGAAATTGCTTCGTTCTCAGTCAATTTGATACCGATGAGCGCAGTCAAAGCGACAGTGTTCAACCCTTCGAGCAGTTGTTGAACGGCATTGTTAGTAGAGAAAAAGGAAAATACGATACATGGATGAAATGAAAACTGATTCGCTTAGTACTGAATAATCTCCTTTGTTTTGCAGATTAAGCACTGCTATATTTCAGATGAGACAACTCGGTTTCTATTTCTTGAAAGAAGACGGAAAGACTTGCGATAGAAAATCTGTTGAGGTATGTGACTTTTGCCATCACACTAAGTGCCATATACATTTTTCCAGAACGCCTACAAGCTTCTGAATGAGCGGACGTCGAGTTGGTCACATTTAGCATCCTCAAGCCAAAAGCAGTTCAAATTCTACCAAGAAATTGTCGACTCAATGTACAGTAACTCGTGGACACGATGGTTTCTCAATAGGTTCATGTTTCCTTATGCTCACTACTGCATGCTGTCTTTTTGATAAATCGTAATAAACGTAAATTAGTTACAAAAGCTATGCACAGTCTTTCGTCAAACAAAGAAAGTAGAGCGTAAAAACCAAAAAAACCTTTTCTTACTCCTTCGCTTTCTTCCAGTGGAACTCTACCGTCATGACTGGAAAGTAGAAAAAGATGTTTTAGGTTTTGTCCAAGCTCGACCGTCGCTCAATCTCGGCATTGTTTGATTGCTTTTTGAGACTGCTTGAGCTGTGCACCGAGATTAGTAACTTCTTCATTGAGTGACGTTTCGGCAATATCACCTTCTTCAGAGTCTGAAATTGTCGAATGCATAGGTAATCTATCCTGCCAAAAACCGTATCAAGACTCAGAAAAGAGTGCGTTTTAGGTTTTTTTGTAAAAAAATTGGAAGCAAAAAGAAAGCGACATACAACAATACCAACTCTCTCATTCCGTCCTAGGCCGCCCGCAACATCTGTGCAGTCGTGCACCCTTCTGACGCTATCGCATAATTTGATAAAAGTAGACCGTGACTTTGGTTGACGCACAGACTCAGCAACAGTAACATACAGGGAAGTGAGCCCTGAGCTTGTGCAGCTACGATTAATAGGCACACAGATGCAGCATTCGAGATTACTCAACAAGTTTTGCATGTTTCAAAGCGAAACCTTCATAAGTACTTCGACCCAAACTTCCAAGTGTAGCGAATTGAAAGGTTTCGATTAAAACCAAAAAATTAAGAGAAAAGTTGTATGCAATTCTTATAGCTGATTATATCCTTTTTGGAATAAGCTTCACCACTTGATTAGGTGGCAGCTCGATGGACCCACAGCACCTAAATGCTACCCAAAATACGCAGTGCGCTAGATCGCTTTTGTGCATACAACGCATTCAGCCTACTAATTAATCTAGCGCGTGACCAGCGAGTAATTACAAAGTATTTATTGCGATAAAATAAAAGGATGAAAAAACTACACTAGATAACAACTAAATTACTAGTAGTTTTACTTTAAAAACAAAACTTCCCACACGAGGCGAGATCCAAGGTCCCGTGCTACCAATGGTTAGCCTCTAGCTGACTTCTATACATGGTGCTAACACATAGCAGATCCGCCGCGCGTCGTCAACTTGGAAACACGACACAAATGCGTCTCCGCTACCAAGCTTCTTCAGATTTTACTAATGAAATGTTCCAGAACATCCCAAATAAAGCTCGGCTCAACATCAATCCTAAATTAACTTGTAAATGTCATCATGATCCGCTCGAAGCTTAAAGGCAGTGTCCGGGCAAAAAGTCGATTTTGAGATTTTGTGCTTACTTGGGCCTATTCACCACGCTGAATCCGTAAATCCACTGGAAAGCACGAAAACTTCAAAAAAGGGCTCTAACGCAGGAGGGAAATCAGAAGTGGGCGGTGTGTTCCCTAAAGTGAATTCACGGTCCCGGCTTCCGGAGCGATCTTCTCAATTCCGCGAGCCGCCCTGACATCTCCACAAGCCAAGTGCGGATGCGTGACCCGAAACCGGAACAGAGAAGATTACTCCGGAAGCTGGGGCCGTGAATTCACAGTGGGGAGAACCCCGCCCACTTCTGATTTCCCTCCTGCGTTAGAGCCCTTCTTCGCCGTTTTCGCGCTCTCTAGTGTGGATTTTCGGATTAGCATAGGAATAGGCCCAGGTAAGCACAAAATCTCAAAATCGACTTTTCCCCGGACACTGCTTTCAACGTACAGGATATGTTCCGATGCGGGAGTCAACAAAATGCACATGCCAAAAACAGAAAGGAAACATTGTCGCCGCTATAAATAGCCGTATGGCTGGCAACGCGCCAGAGTAAGGTGTGGTCCGGAGGTGACTGCGGCAATGCGCGTACTGATCACCGTAATCGTCACAGAGTAGCGCGGCAACCAATGCTCCCGGCCTCCGTACTTTTTGCAATAGAAGCGCTCGCATCGCGAAGCCGCGGCGACACCTAACAAGCTTGATAGTGTTAGGTGTTTGAGACTATTTTAACACGTTTCGGACCGCGAAATCGCGCGCGGCGAAAAATTGTGTACTTTCAGCCTTTGGCCAATAAAGGAACCTTATTTCGTAGATAGACAATGGGCTAAATTTGTAATCAGCATATCAGATAAGCTCCATATCCAAAGTTCTGAGCGAATTTGAAGTGTTTGAATTTTGTCGCTTGAGAGGGACTTCTGTGCTTTCTTGAAAGATAGGAACAAGGAGTCAGTTCCTGATAGTAATTAAAATATCTATATTGTACACAGTACACATCACCATTGAAACCATGGTTTTCCCCTCTGAAATTGAAGCAGAGAAAAGTTGCGACGTCGCATGCGTCGTTCGCGTTGCCCGCTTCTTTGCAACTGCCGTTCAATTTGTCCCCATATCTCCTAAGCAAATAGCGGCAGCACAGCTCCACAACGTCATATGGAAGGAAGCTTAGGCCTTTGACTCGATAACCTTGGACTGAAAGCCTCCTATTAGCGTCAAAAAGATCCTTTGAAGCAGCGTGCTGTACAATGTGCAGCACCGATCCGCAATGTGTTAAATTGATCTGGCTCTGCACTAGATAATTGCCTAAATTGCGAAAATGCAAGTGAATGAAAAAAAATAGTTTTTGAGCTGATGATTGCGATCATTGGAACTACGGCCGCTTTCCATTGTCAAAGGGATTTGAAGCGTTTTTGTATTGATCAACCAGACTAATGAACCAGTAATCTAAAGGTGCTATTTGAAAGAGCGTTCGCTTGGGGACGGCCACGTGGTCTCCCGCTTCTTATGAGTTAACGATTCCTTATATATTAGATTGATGTACAAAGGTTTCCAGAAGTATGTATACATTGTTTGATCGTTGATATCCCTCCTTCAAAAAGCTCTTTTGCTAACTTTAGGTATCTTTTGTAAAAGTAACTTCAGACTGACTAAGATCTACAGTAATAGGCGAATTTGTGGTGATTTTATTTCACGGAAAAGTCAGTAATGTTCGAAAAGCCTTATTTTAGACGTTGACATGTGACTTGTAATACAAAACCATTGAACCGATTTTTTACGGATAAGGGATTTGCTGTGAACGCCACACATCTTCGGTCACTATTATAGAGTCTGTACCATGGAGTTCACGCTGCTTAGGGCTACGTATCCGCTGCGCGAGGGTGTGCACCGATCTTTTTTGATGGATAAGAGCGATTTGAGCGCCTACACATCAACGACCTCGGCGCGCGAGAATAGGGTTTATGGAGAAAGCATACTACGACTGAGACGAATTGTAAGCATAATCATGCTTTTGCCAACAAGGGAAGTTCACTTAGTCGAAGTGGCGATTCGGAAGGAGATCTATACCAGTGGATAGAGCCCAAAAAGCTGATCTCAGATATACCTTCTATATCTGCGATGCGTTGTTCTCAAAAAAGTTATGAGCTTTTCTAAAGCCAAATTTTCGTACATTTTGAGTAGCAAAATCATGATAATCGCCACACAAAAGTGTGCAAGCTTAAGCAAACCACCTAGAAAGCATTGTAGGTCTAATTCGAATTCATGCGAACGTTTTCGAGCGTTTTCCGACCATGTTGTTTATTCACAGGCCGTCATTTCCTTCCTATATCACACTTCCATTATGTATACAAAAAAAGCCCATAACCTCCATCTAGAAGAACGCGTCGCAGATATTGAAGATACATTAAGAACATCGTTTTACGTTCTATCCACTGGTAGTTTCCAAAAAGTTTCCGACGCAACGCGTTTTTCTAGATGGAGGTTATGGGGCTTTTTTTTGTATACATAATGAAAAAGTGATCTAGGAATGAAATGACGACCTGTGGATGAACAACGTGGTCGAAAAACACTCGAACGCGTTCGAATGAACTCGACGTGGAACTACAATGCTTACTAGGTGGTTTGAATGAGCTTGCACACTTTTGTGTAGCGATTATCATGATTTTGCGACTCAAAATGCACGAAAATTTGATTTTAGAAAAGCTCATAACTTCTTTCAAAACAATGCGTCGCAGATATAGAAGGTATATCTGAGATCAGCTTTTTGAGCTCTATCTAGTGGTATAGATTTCCTTCCGAATCGCCACTTCGAATAAGTGAACTTCCCTTGTAAGTCTCTTTCGTCTCTTTCTCAGTGAGATTGTGAGTCAAAGTTGCACCTAGGTTGTGGAATCACAATCTACAATGAAGGTTTACTATCTTAAAGGCAGTGGATCGGCAAAACTTGACAACCTAGGATCTTAACGCAGTAGGTTCCTTATCGTCCAAGTATGAAGACAGTGCAATCCCGGTTGCACAGCATGCCTTCCCTGTGGAGAAAATCGCTCTCAAATTTACACGCGCAAGCCAATCTTACAAGCACTCGGACGAGTTGGCAACTTCCTTCTCACCATTGGAGGCTGCCCGCCGCAATTCTATAATCACTGGGTCCCGGAACGATTCAGCGTCATTAGCCTTGTTCCACTCGTCCAATTTTGAAGGGAAGGGGGTTGAAAAACGCTCGTTTTCACCGTTTTCGAGCTCTCTAAAGTGGATTTTCGGAATCAGCGTATTGAATAATCCCAGGTAAGCGAAAATTTGACTAGGTTGAGATTTGCCGAGCCACTGCCTTTAAGCTTGAGGCAGCGTCAGAATAGTACAGCCTCAAAATACTATCAGCATAGGCCGAGACTCCCTGTTTCATCAACTATCGAGCAGACTCCGGAACGCGTCGCTTTCTAGCCTTTTCGAAAACGAATCTCCCCTAACTTTCAAGATTTTTATTCACAAAGTCTCTCTTTACATAGGCGCGTACACAAAATGACTGACGAAAATACAGAAAACGGAAATGAGTCTCTATCTTTCTCACGCTGTTAATCAGACTAAGGCCCCGGACAGACTTCACGCGATTTGATCGTCGCGACTGAATCGCGACGAGACAACTATTACAACATCATTCCATGCCGATCAACTTGCATCTCGGTTGTGATACTTTTCCAGCCC